GAGAGAGAGAGAGAGAGAGAGAGCGAGAGAGAGAGAGACCGTCACCTATTTTCGTAATGTTTTTTTTTTTTTACGGGGCCCATACTACTTTTTCCAACTGCACATTCCATACTTTTATTGTGAGTTTTCCCCCTCTTAGTGCAGGAGAGAACGGGGAAATGTCATATATGCGCACAGATTGTGGCGTGTTTGACCTTTGTAGCCACGCGTCGAATTTCGCTCTCACTCCCGGCTGTATAATGTCTCGCCGTAATACATATTATTATTATCATTATTATACTGACCGTGACCACTGCAGCATTGGGATTTTTTTGGGGGGTTTTGTTGTTGTTTTTTTTTACACCGGCGTCAAACGGGCTGATTTATCAATGTCATGCTCATACTGTGCCGGAACAACATAGGGGGAACTGCTGCTTTTTCTGTCCTCATCCCTACTATCGTCATTATTCCTCTACTTCTTTCGTATGTTTGTCACTCTCTTGTGAACTGCTATTTCCGGGGTGCCTTGATAGTCGAACGAAGCAGACTTTGTGCTGTTGAAGCTAGAGAGGTGAGCAGAGTAGGCCTGATTTCCCGTTTGGACTTCTCTGTTGACATCCACCCCTTGGCACTCATATGTCCTTTTGCAGTTGCGAGCGCCGTAAAACCTCTACTAAAACTGAAAGCAGGCTTTTTGCTGTTGAGGTTAGAGAGGTGAGCAGAGTAAGTCCGATTCCCTGTAAGGACTTCTCTGTTGACTTCCACCCCTTGGCGCTCATATGACCTCATGCAGTTGCGAGCGCCGTAAAACTTTACTAAAACTAAAAGTAAACTAAGAGCCGCCCCGGACTGAGTAGGGTAGGGGTACACAGACACCCCACCAAACTCCGTGTAATGTTTGTTTGTTGTTATAACGCAATCTCATTTGTTAACGTTGGTTGTTCCTAAAAGTTGGCACGCCTGCAATAATAGATTATGTAATAGTGTGCTCTGTGTAGATAGAAACTACTATTGGAGCTGCACGAGACAAGATCACCTGAGAAAGTCACAAAATGTTGCTTTTAAGTCATTGAAATATTTTGTTGGTGCTCTTTGAAACAGAAATCCAAGTTCGTGATTCTTGCGGATTTCCCCACTTTATTCTGTACATGGAATTTTGTTTTAAAGCTAGGCTAACAACATGCAAATGATGAAAAAATGCGAATTCATGTGTCTGATTTATGTTTGATGGTTTCAAATGTGCCTTTGGTCTGCTGCCCATTGGACATATGTGTTCGCTACATCTTTAGACAATTAGTCCCAACACAAGAAATGTACGGGTGCTTGCTTTGTGCAGTTGGTCTATGAGAATTGAGAACTCTGTGACTCTGGATTATTCTGGAATGTTAAAAAGGATGAGCGACCTGACACTGCAAGGGATGTGACGTCATGCATTTGTGCGGTTGTGTCAAGAGAGGGGACGGTGAGCTGTGTGTGTGTGTGTGTGTGTGTGTGTGTGTGTGTGTGTGTGTGTGTGTGTGTGTGTGTGTGTGTGTGGAAAATGGGGCGAGAGACAGCTGATCAAAACTTCAGTTCTACTCAACTCACTGCAGACTCATGGCGTTTTTAGCATCTTGTTAAACGTATCGTCCCTTTGCTCCTTCATACATGTCTTCGTTAACGTAACCCTCCCTTTTTCTTTCTTTGACTCTGTCCATACTCCTATTTTCTACCGTAACTGATTTCAACACTGCTCTG